ATGGGTTTTAAAGATCTCACCCACATGCAGGGATTCCCTCAGAGAGCAAGGGGAAAAGTTAACAGGTTTATTGAGAGGTTGACAAAAAACAGAGAGAGAGATTATATGCAGGGTATCGCAGTGGGACTTCAACGGACTGGTGAACCGGAACCGGAAACTGTTAGGGGAGATCACAAAGATCAGTGCAAGGTCCGTAGGGAAAAGGACTGAGGTTAGTGAATAGCTGGACTCATGTTAGGTAGATTCTTGGTTTCCCTTGGGTCCAGTTTGTGGGGGGTTTAATCCAGAGATGTATGAACAGGCAGACTAGCGTTGGGTCCAGAGGAGCAGTGGAACGGACTGTCACCGGGTTTTCCTGAAGTGGGCTTGAACAGATCTGGTGAAGGTTTCCCTTTGCTCAGTATGACTTGAATTATTCCTTCCGAGTGGGGTAGAAGGACCAGGCTTATCCAGTGGTTCAGAAAGGCATTCTACCAGAGAACAAAGACAAAGGCAAGGCTTAGACTCAGAGAAACAAGGCAATAGTTAGACTCAGCTGATCTCAGCAAGGCTAGAGTACCCAATACTGGCAAACACTCTGCATCGAGGTGGTGACAGTTCGCAGCTCAAGTACTCCTCTGGTAATGACCCAACAAGCCACAGGTGTGCAGGGAGGCCCAACTAGAACAGGGCACCGCCTGGTGGTGGGGAGAGGAAAAACACAGAAAAAGCAACCCACACAAACTGGAACCCTAACACTCTCTCACATATCAACTTTTGTCACTTTGACAGAGGAACCAACTTGAGAAAGTAAACTGCCTATGATTGGCTATTTTCAGAGACAGCACTGTTTTCGTCCTGGTTGTGACTAGCAAAGCATTTTTATACTAATCACCAGGGCTCTCAACTCTCACAGATTGACCATTTTTTATCAAATGCACACGCACCACACTTGTATTTCTCACTCTTAAATGAGTGCATCCTGTGATGTGTGGATCAACACTAAGATAGAGATACCTCAGATGTCAGAGCTTATGCTCAAAAATTGATTCGCAGAATAAAATTTAAGTTTCTTTTCATACTGCAGTCATTTTTGATGATGCATGTTAACAAGAAAATGCATGTGTTTGAAACGCGTCAGATAGGGACGTCCGGAGTCTCTATGCTAAAGGAACCACCTGTGATCATTCAGAGCTACCATTATGAATAACATTTTTATACTTATATTTTACCTGTTGCCAAATACGTATCTAGCAGCTGCTTTACTTGAGGAGTAAAATGCAAACATTTTTTTTTTTTTTGTCCAATCAAGATTCATGCTGACTAAAATCTAACTAAATGTGAATTAACAGCAGTCTGAGACTAAAACTATGATTAAAACCTCCAAACTCAAGTAATATGTTGTCAAACTAGACGCTGGTTTAATATCTCTTGGAATGCTTCTTGGAATAATGTGTACAGTATAAAGAAAAAACGGTGACAATTTAGGAATTGAATCTATTAGCAATAGCCACTCATTTCCTTTTTACTGGTTTCTCCTAATATCTTTCTACCAGTGAAATAGGAAGTTGTTTACATTTTGCCATGGTAATTCAATTAACTCCATAGTCGACTACGAGTAACCCCTCTGGTTTTTATGTTTATTTGATATTGTTAGGTTTTTATTTTTTTCCCTAAGGCTCAATCTAACTCAGGTAAATCAATAATGGACACCCTAGCCAAAGGGAAATCCTACCCTGGATATTGTTCTTACTGTTGACCCGTGAAAGGCCAAGGGATAGGAACCACTGATCCTTAGCTCTCTCCTGATTGCCACACCTGCTTCCTTTGTCTTCAACTGAAGCTCAATCCAAATACCTCAAATTGTAGCTCCTACCTCCTGTTCCCATCTCCTATCCCTCACCTTTCAGGGAATCAACGGTTATAACTTTATCCAGAGTGGGAAAATAGTTCCAGACTGCTGTGCTGAATCTAGACAGCCGTCAGCCATACAGAGGATCTTATGTGGCAGACATACAAATAAACCGTGTTGAGAATGTGTTACCTCAGTTACTAAAAGCCCAACAGTGGCAAACGGAGAGCTCCTCAGAAATATTGTAAAACCCCAAGCAACAAGACACCGTCTAAACATTTAGGTTATATAGATGATTAAATATACGTACTCTCCAAAGCCAAAATCTGCAATATAATGAGGCCACCCAGAAAAACATCTGAATATTATCATCCAGTGACAGCTGACGCTGTTGACAAGGACATCTACAGGCATCACCATGGACAGCGCCATGAAACCTTGACACATAATGCACAACAATTTGAAATTGTAATCTACATTGAAAGATTTCTGCAACACCTCCTAAATGTCTTTACATGGTAAGAACGAAAATAAACAACACGGATCAACTCTCACATTTAACAAGCAGTTTGCCTTGGACTTTTTACAAACAAGCTCCACAATAAAGACTAATAGGCCAAAAGTTTCCCTGGGCCATAATATCAATCCCATGTGATAAATAGATGGTTTATAACACATGTATATCTTATTAGATGAAAACAAAATCCATCCGCCAGTCTTTCTTTGTGAAGTGGAGATGGCAGCATCATACACTTTGTCCTTTGACTTTTTCTATCGACATCAGTGCCGAAGCACCCAGGTGATCCTCTCCAGTACTGTTAGTGGCATACATCCTAATCAGGACCAAACAAGGAAGGTGACGGAGCTGCCCCTAGCTCTCTGTCAGATATTTCTTGGTCAGAAAGTGAAGCAGATTTGATGGGCTCTGTGGACTTAGGAAGCTGAGACAGAGGCTTTTCTTGCAAGGAAAAAGGTTCTAATTTATTTCACGTCCTCAGACAGAGAGATATAGCTCTGACTGAGGCAACCTCAGTACATACATTTATACAGCAATTCCCAATATACACACTCTCCATTGGAACTATCCCAGCCCTACATAAAGAACTTTCTCACACATGAACATTTGCTTATTCCCCCCCAAAAAAACACTTCAATCCATCAAGGACATAAATTTTAGAAGGATAAACAATCCAGGTCTCCAGTTCACGGCATGAAGGAGGCTGTGTCAACTCATTCTTATGTCTCATGACCCTCCTTCACCCTGTCTAGAGTAGGAAGGCAACTGCTTTCTGTCATCCCCAATCTGAACTCCGTATATAACTTAACTCCAGTATATAGACTGATACAAGACTTCTAAACAATCACCTCTATTTAGCCAGAGAAAAGGCACACTCAAAATATTTTATCTCACAAATAGGCCAAGGAAAAATATACTTTCACAGCTCCTTCCCTCAAAGTTTTGCGTGTTGTACATGACCGTTAACTCCATCTGTAGCCTGGGATGGTCAAATTCAACGCATAGATTTCAGCTAGCTTTGAAACTCAGAGTTGAGGAAGTTTTCTCTGTATTCTGCAAATTTTTGGAGGGTCAAGGAGAGTAAGGAGTCTCAGTTGTTCACGGTCCTTAAACCAGTTCTTCAGCTGTGTAAGAATGTTGACAAAGATGTCCTGCAGCTTCTGGTACGCTGCACAAACATCTCCAACTCTCCACCCCCTGCATACATCAGTGCTTCAACTAGAGTCAGCTCTGATGCGAGCCAACAGAATGGACAAAGTGCTGGTGAAGATTCTCAGTCATCCAGGTCTTAGGCATTCCAAAACAGTAAAAAAAAAACAATCCACTGGACTTTGTTTCCAAGTTTGAAGACGTTTCGCCCAAGAACTCAAATGACTCCCCATTCCCAGGGGGTGGACCCGTTCTTCTGGTTCAATTTGCACGTTTTCTAAGCCAAAACAAGTCTTTGGGCTATTATATATAGTTTTGAACTCATCACTAATTCCAACATTTTAAATTGAAAAAGCTTCCTGGATGGGAAGGGAACTTGGAAACTTGGAAACAAAGTCCAGCGGATTTTTTTAAAACAGTTTTTGAAGAATTGCCAAATATTTGTGGATAAAAGTTGAAACGTCTTCAAAAGGTCTGGTTACCTTTTAATTTAAGCCTGTTTATGGATGCCATGACCTGGATGAAGAGAAGTTACACAGGTAAGCTGTGGCTGAGTACAAACTTTTAAAATATTGTACAGTGTATGCCCGCCCTTACTGGTTTAAGGTATTCGCATCAATCCTGTTTACCAGTATTTAGACAAGCTGTTCTCTCACTGGGGGTCGGGCAGGCAGGCGCCATCTCCGGATGTTTTTAAAACTTGTTTTGAAAAAACGCTTTTTCTCACTGGCTTTTAAACCAGATTGAGTTTTTATCTGCATTTCAATTGTACTTCTTTTGTGTTTTGTGTTTTTTTTAATTGTTGACTTTATAGTGAATTCACTACATATATATATATATATAGTTAAACACATATGTGTTTTGTGCAGCACTTTGTTCAGCTTTTATTCAGTTTTCAAAGGGCTCTAGAAATAAAATGGCATTGTATGGTAACCATTCTGCTTTACATTATTCATTGTGTAAACCTTGTATCAATCCATGTTCCCAGTTCTGTCTTCATTGTTTCATGCTCTGTCCTCCATGTGTCTCTATAAATATTTGTCTTATCTTAATTAAAGAAACCATTTTTCATCTCTACTGTATATCCTGGAAATGTGTTTGTCTTTAGTCCCAACAGCTTCGGTCACTGTACCGTAGGAGCGTTTCAACGAGGGTCTATAGTCATTTATTGGATGAGCAGACATAACGTATTTAGTAACTAGGAAGTGATAGTAAATAATTGATGGTTTTTAAAATTCTTAGAAAAAAATCTTTGTATTTGGGGGTTCCCCCAAATAAAAACTCTTCGACCAGCATAAAGACCAGGGAAACCAGAAGGCAGGTTGGGGATAAAATTGTTAGAAAATGTTAGATTTATGGTACAATCATAGAGAATTTTCTTATAGAATAAATACAAGGAAGAACGCCTCATGGATGCAGCAGCCATTTACTCAATTTGCAGGCAAATATAAAAAAGGTGTCACATCCTATTCACATAATGGTGGCTCATCTGTCCATTTTCAGATGCCTATCCTAAAACAGAGATGATCTACACTTGGACCAAAGGGCCTCAGCATTCAGTGGAGGTCCCCCCTGAGTCCTCCAGCCTCGTTCAGTATGATCTGATCGGCCAGACGGTTTCCAGCGAGACCATTAAATCCATCACAGGTGAGCCATGTTTGTCCTGTCAACATTCTGTGCTCAATTATAATAACATAAAATCTAAAATAACTCTTAAGTTTTGCCTTAAATATATCTTAAGTGTAAAGCCAAACTGGATATTTGAGTTTATATTGTTTTTGAATGCAGCTTCATCTGTGATATTTGAAGGATTTTGAAGGTTTGACACTTGCACAAACACGGCAGTCTGTCAGTTGAAGCATGACTAGCAGACAGCAGCAGCAGCCTCATGAAGTAAACATTGTGGATTGAGTCATTTCACAGGCCAACTGGTTCACCCAAAAACTGATGGATCCAAAAACAGATTTTTCTGTTTTTTATTCTTTTCTTTTTTCTTTTTTTTGCACAGATGGCTAAGGATGGATGAGAGGCACTGATTTAACTGAAAATAGATTGAGGGATGTAATGAGGTGTTAAGGATTGTGAAACAGAGGGATGGCTGTCTTCTTGTGGTATTTACTCTCACTTTAAGCTAATTTATTTCTTTTGATCCACCAGGTGAATATGTGGTGATGACCGTCTACTTCCACTTGAAACGGAAAATGGGCTACTTCATGATCCAGACGTATATCCCCTGCATAATGACAGTAATCCTCTCTCAAGTGTCCTTCTGGATAAATAAGGAATCAGTCCCAGCACGGACTGTTTTTGGTATGTAAGACCGAACGCATCTTTCTCCTTCCTCCTTTATGCTCATCAGAGCATTAGATCCATTTCAACCCTTTAACATCAAGGGTATCATGTTTGACAAATTAGTTTTTGAGATCTCTTCATCATCAGTGTGATATTTTTGTTTATCTAAAACCTGACTTATACAATCATGCACATGAAGTGCACTGAAAACCTAAAAAATGCACAGAAATGCCAAATTTATTTAGTAAATTTCATTTTTTTTCATTTTTCATAAGGTTTAATGACATCTAGTTAAAAATATATTTAATGAATAATTGACTGATAGACTGTATTGATCTCACAGTGGAGAAATCTACTTGTTACATTGGCTCAATAGTCAAAAATAAGGTGCCAAAAGGAGGAAAAGGTGCATGATTTCACAAGTTATTGGCCTTGCAATGTTGCATTGTATAATCTGGCGGCAGCAGGGATGAATGACCTGCCGTAGTGCTCCTTTTTAAAAACAGGGTGTAAAAGTCTTTCACTAAGGAGCTGCTCCGCTTCTCTACAGTCTGGTGCAGGGGGTAAAAGGTGTTGTCCATGATGCATGTGAGCTTGGACAGCACCCTCCTCTCGGCCACTTCCTCCACTGAGTCCAGAGCTCAGCCAAGGACGGAAGTAGCCTTTCTCAGTCTGTTTAGTCTCTTTCTGTCCTGCTCTGCGCTGCCAGGGGCCCAGCAGACAAAAACATAGAGGAGGGCTGATGCCACCACAGAGTCATAGAAAGTTTTTAACAGGGGCCTGCTCACTCTAACGGATCTCAGCCTTCTCTGGAGGTGGAGGTGGCTCTGGCCCTTCTTGTACAGGGCATTGGTGTTATGAGTCCAGTCCAGTTTATTATTGATGTTCATGGGGGAGTGAGGTGGGGGTCTTCTCCTGAAATCGATCACCATCTCTTTGGTCTAATGCTACGTTCACACCTAAAGCAGCAGAGGCAGCTAGTTTACATGCAAAGTCAAGAGTTGACGCACATTTTGCTGCAGCAAAAGGTCCCACAACAACCTTTTAAGCAGCAGGAGCAGTGCGTCCGAGTCCTTTTGTGAAACATTATCAGAAGGATTTCTGGTTGCATTTGAAGAAAAAAATGGTACTGATGATGCTACCAGCACAGAATAGTGGTAGCATTAGCAACATTAGCAGTTGGCCATGGTCCATTTAACATTATTTGCCGGTCTCTTACAAAATACTTAGAAAAGTTACACAAGAAACACTAATTCTAATCCCTAAAAAAAAAAACAAATCCCTAATTGTTAGAATCATTGCTTTTGGTGGAATAGAGAAAAGAATGGTGATAGCAAGGCTAATTTTAGCATCCTTCCACAATTTATTTAATTCACATAGAAGGACCAAATTACCGCTCTAAGGAGATCGAGCTCTTGTAGGCTTTTCTTGTTTAAACAAAAAGCCCACACGAAGTAAACCAAGTCTGATTGAACACTGAATTTCCCAGTAGCTTTAAACTGAAGCTCAACACATTTTAAAATATAAGAAGTCCGATTTCCAGGTGATGCCGCCTTTTAAAAAGCTGTAAGTTCTGCCATTTGAAACGAGCTGATTCTTGCTCATAGTTTCCCTCCTAAGCATATATATATATAGGCCATGATGTCATCTAGCAGTTTGCATAATGATTGTGTCATTGCTGCAGTATTTTCAGTTTTTCCTCTGCTAGATTAATCACATCTATTTAATTCTCTTCTCTTCTTTTTTGTTATTCATAAATTGAGTGTTTTTGCCACCAAAGCCTCGAAACATTTACTCTCATTTTTTTGTTATGGCAAAGCTAAATGAGTCTTAAATTGTTGCTGAAAAGCAGTCCATTATGATTACGTCTCTAAATCTGATTAGTTGTTTTTGGAATGGACTGGTGGCTTTTATTACAGTAATCTAACAGGAAATTGGCAGAGAGATGGGAAGGGTAGGGTAGGTATAGAAACTCACTGCTGCATCCAGGAGTAATTGTTTTTTAACTATGTTCCTTGCCAAATACTTACTTTGCGGATGTTCAAACCCTGATGCTCCCTGGGCTAAAATAATCAACTCTGAAAAGAGAATAAGTAAGGTTCTTTATTATATCATCCAACAGAAAAAAAGGATTCCTAAACATCTTTCTCTTTCATTCAGCTCTTTTTCCTTTAGAAACATGTGTAACAAGCCTTTTATTGGATGACCCTCAGTGGAAATGTGTCTAGTTGTTGCATGGTGTGATAAAACCCTGGAGGATTAGTGCTACTTTCCTGCAGTGGTCAATGTCAGTGCCTCTGCTTTCTTTTCTCAGAGCATTCAGCATGACACAGCGTCGCAGCAGTTACATCATTCGATGCTCTCAGGCTTGGTTTCTCTTATTATTGGCATTTTCAATATGAACATGAAGTTATTTGTATTATTTGGGAACAGAGGATAGCTTGTGTTTGGTTTTCCCCCATTTGCCTTGCAGCTGTTTAAAGAAGTGCAGTGGAAACATCAGCCTCATTGACCCATTTTAAGATGGAAAAAGTTTTATCAAGAGATCAAGCAGGATCTGAGGGTGGATTAAGGGGCACAGCTTTCATACTCCTTTAACCTTTTCACAGTTTGTCCCATTATAGCCATAAACGTCATTGCATTGCATTGGATGTGACAGACTGACATAAAGTCATATGTAATTATAATGTGGAAAAGGATAGATGGTTTTCCTTTTTACAATTTTAATATAAAGAGTGGGATAAAAACTGAAATTTCCTCTTAAAATATAACTTAAGCACTAAAATTGGACATGTAGCAGGTCCAGACAAAGGCATAAGGGTGATAAGTGTTAAAAAAATAATAGTTTGATAGCATTTTTTACATAAATATTTCATTAATAATGTAACAATCAATACTTATGCATAACAATATTTATATTTGTCTTGGGGCAAGATTGACATGGAAGGATTATTGTTTCTGTGACAAATGTGTCTTAGGAGAACAGTCTGATGGTGATGAGAGAGAACTGGTTTCAGAGATGGAAAACCTTCCAGACACCTTAAATCACAGATGACCTCATTTCCTCTCTTCCCTCACTCAAAATAAGGTCTGAGTTCTCCCCAAACCTTTGGGTCGCTCTGAGGACGGCCTGAACTCTCCCTGTGACTGTTGCATCAGCAGAGAGGAGCTTTTTCAAAATCAAATTAATGAATAACTACCTGAGATCTTCCATGGTGGAAGAGTGATGGAGTGAGCTGGCAGAGGTCAGTATAAACAATCAGTCATCAGTGAGTCATCAGGAAACTCAGGTATTAAGGAGTAGAGTATGGATGAAGAAAATCCTAATATAAAATATGTTAAAACATATGTGGTTAAAGGTTTATGATTTTAAATAGAGCTGTCATATATAGTTGCATGTATTGACCTTTTTAAGAGCTGATTATTCAACTACCTAGTTTCAGCTAACTTTTTATTACTATTAAATAAGAACATTCTTGATTTTTCAATGTGTATTAATGATTTAATTGTCAGATCATTTATTATTTTATTACTATTTTATTATCAATTTTTCCAAGCTATTATGTAATTTTTCTTTTTTTTCTGGCAGTTGCGGTTGAAATTTGAACCAGAAAGTTTAAAACTCATTACCCTATTATTTTATTACCCTTAGTAAATCAGCATGATGCATATAATGGGGAATAGGATATGTGGGACAACAATGATGTATATGAGAGACGACTTTATCAGGTTTGCTTTTCTTTTGTGACTCTCTTCTACAGCATTGATTTACATTGCACTCCCCTTGTGTCAAATTTAAAAACTTTTTTGGCTTTAATCATACTTTACATCATATTTTGTATTTTAAGCCTTACTGGTTCTGCTTTAAGAGCATCGTGCTCAGTTTTGTCATGACGTGGGGCACTAGTGCAGCACTGTGACAAGGACTACAGCTCTGCTTTTTTTTGGTTTTAAGAAAAGCAAACTGGATCAAGTCATTTTTCATAATTTAAATCTGTGGGAAAGCAGAACAGAAGTAAAAAAAGAAACAGCACTGTTAGTTAGTTTATTAAAGATCCAAAACAATTCACAAAATCAAAATTAGGAAACATGTTAAAGGTGCTGTAGGAGATCTTGGAAAAAACGGTTCCAGCAAGCTATATTTTTGAACATACGCAACCATGCCTCTCCCTTCAGACTACACCTCGAAACCACGCCTTCAAAACACATGAACGTCCATGCTGTCTGCAGCACGTCTGGCAGGGAGACAGGCAGCACTGACCCCTTGCTCACACTGGCTCCAGTGCGGTTACCGAGCCGACGGAGACCGCAACTCCCGCACACCCCCTCTTACACCGCCCTTTTGACTACGGTGCGGTGCGGCTCTGCGGCTCCGGCAACAGGTCCGGAGATTTAACNGCGGCGCCGCACCCACCGCACCGCAACGGTAAGACCGGAGTCGGTGTGAGCCGGGGGTGATAGTGCAGAGCGCTATGATAATTCTCTGAAACTGTTTATTAACACCTAAATTAATGCCAAAATCTGCAGACAAAACATGTTCACTTTTATTATCCTGGTGCCTGCAGTTTGGATTACGTACATGAAAAACTTCTGCCAGCCGCTGCGCCAAAGGCTCCTGTTGAATGGGATTCCTAGTGGCAGTGCACCGCTGGTGTACGGGGGTCTGAGTGGCGCCGACAGAAATAATATTTGAAGGCAGGATGGTAATCTGGCACTGACAATGCTTTCAGATGGACTTTCTCACTTTAAATAGATTCAAGCCACTTTTTACCCACTGATCACAGCAAATATAGCTGCCATTTTTACAGGCAAAGATAGGATATAGTGACTGCACCTGACCAGGTAATGGTAGCCTGGACACCTGCGTCCCCCGTGCTTCCACCTTACCGGTCCCCAGCCCCCCTCCTCCGACTGAGGACGGTTGGCTCATGGCCCAGCACTCGACAAAAAAAAGTGTCCTCCTTTTCAGAAACCCAAATCTTTGCTCCTCACTCTAGAGGAAAGCCTGAGCCCAGAAG